AGAGGGCAAGAGGGCAAGAGGAGAAGATGTGAAGATGTGAAGATGTGAGGATGTGGAGATGAGCAGATGTGAAGATGAGAAGATGTGAAGATGAGCAGATGTGAAGATGTGAGGATGTGAAGATGTGAAGAGGTGAGCATGAGAAGATGTGAAGATGTGAGGATGTGGAGATGAGCAGATGTGAAGATGAGCAGATGTGAAGATGAGAAGATGCGAAGATGAGAAGATGTGAGGATGAGATGTGAGCATGAGAAGATGTGAAGATGAGCAGATATGAAGATGTGAAGACGTGAAGATGAGCAGATGTGAAGATGTGAAGATGTGAAGATGAGCAGATGTGAAGATGAGAAGATGCGAAGATGAGAAGATGTGAGGATGAGAAGATGTGAAGATGAGAAGATTGTTTTCAGACCCCCACTATTGGAAGAACCCTGCGCTCAGACGCTCTCGGGAAAATGTAGCAACATAATGTAACTTAACGGACTGTCTTTATGCCTGCAGGCACGTGTTCATGCATGTACGGATGTATGCATGCACGCATGTGCCTCTCTTTGCATCGATCTTTGTATCTATTTATGTAGCTGGTGTAGCGCGTTGTAAAAAGATGCATGCGATGTAATGCCTTGTAATTTCAACCAATATATGTATATATATATATTATACATATATATATATTACACACACACATATATATATATATGTACAGTAATTTACATGCATACACATGTATGTATGTAATGCAACGTATATGTGAGTGTGTTTGGATGCACGGATGCGCGTGTATAATGTGAAATCTAGCATTGCGGTGTCGTGTGGCGTCACGTAATATAAAATGCAATGTCGCGCAACGAAATGGGATGTATCTTTGTATGTGTGTCTCTATGTATGTCTCTATGTATGTCTCTATGTATGTCTCTATGTATGTCTCTTTGTATGTCTCTGTGTGTGTCTCTATGTATGTCTCTATGTATATATGTCTCTATGTATGTCTCTATGTATGTCTCTATGTATGTCTCTATGTATGTCTCTATGTATATATGTCTCTATGTATGTCACTATGTATATCTCTGACGATGGTAGCTCGGCCCCACCTGGGGCTGCACTGCGGCTCTTTTCCTCATCTATGGGCACTTCAGCCACAAAAGGTCCGCTGCAGAGGTCCCCGATGGTTGGTATGTTGCTGATGGACTGAAATCACATTCCTCTTTGATTATATATCTTAAATAAAAAAGGTGGCCCCAAAAGGTGCAACTTTCCGAGCTGCACATGGCCTCGCTCTGAGTGATCCTCACTTCAGGCGTCTGATCTCCATGCTGCCAGGGAAGTATGTCTTCGGCTGAGACTCACATGCTGAGCAGGCCAAAAGATACTTCTTGAAATCCATAGTGCGGGATGAAGGACCCTTGTAGTTGCTCACCCAGTTCAAGTAGCTTGCCATTTTGGTATCGCCACTGTCAGAGATTTTCACCAGCTCTCGGTAGCTGGAATTCAACTCTTTCACCTTCGGCAACTCACAGATCGTACGGCCCCACTCTTCGAGAGAGCTCACTCCATCAGGCAGACTCACCTCATACGGCTGACGCTGATCTTCAACGCATCTGGTACTTCATAGGTCGTTGCTGATCGGTGGGGTACGGGCCACCGAAGTCAGCAGGAGAGGGAATCATTTCCTCGGAGGAGGATACATGCTGGAAATCTTCATCATCAAGTGCTGATCGCTCGGACAAACGGCGTTTTGATCCATCTGTCATGGCTCCAACAGGCAGCTGTGACTCCTGCTGAATAGTCTGGACCATACTGTCCAGCATGCCAGTTCTTTGCATCTCACGAAGAAGCTCCATGGCCTGAGACTGTTTGCTCTCAGGAGAGGCACCTTTGGACATTGACATGACTTCGTTGGCACAGGCTGATCCTATACAAGCAAAAACAATGCACTACGGGAACAGGCTCGAAGAGCTAAATAGGAGGTGCTGCAGTGATTTAGATTTCATGCATGGAATCAAAGTGTTCAGGTTTTTGAGACACTGCTTGGCACTGTCTGACAAGACAAATGGAGCTGTATGATTAACCACCCGTTATTAATCGGCCTATCCCCAGTTATCACCCTATATCTATCCCGATTACACTTAATCCCAACTTAATTACTTGGCTCAGCATGCTTCATGGCTTGAGGCTGTCTCGCACGACGTTCTTCTCTTTGCTGTTTCTTGATTGCCAAAATTGTTGCTTCTTTGTTAAGTTGATACTCTCCCACATCCAACGCTGCTCGCAACAAGTCCGCTGGATCCATTTGATCTTTTGTGAGTCCATCCGCAATCATCAGTTCTGTCGGACACCATCTCACAGAAAGGCCTGTACGGGCCATGCATTGCTTCAAAATTGCCAGGTCTATAGCTACTCTTTTGTCTTCAACCTTGGCAACACTGGACAACGATGTCAAGTGATCATACAGGGACTTGCAGTCAGTGATTCCGGTGATAGTTTCATTCTTTGGGGCAAG